TGTCTTGTCTTGTTTTGTCTTGTCTTGTTTTGTCTTGTCTTGTTTTGTCTTGTCTTGTTTTGTCTTGTCTTGTTTTGTCTTGTCTTGTTTTGTCTTGTCTTGTTTTGTCTTGTCTTGTTTTGTCTTGTCTTGTTTTGTCTTGTCTTGTTTTGTCTTGTCTTGTTTTGTCTTGTCTTGTTTTGTCTTGTCTTGTTTTGTCTTGTCTTGTTTTGTCTTGTCTTGTTTTGTCTTGTCTTGTTTTGTCTTGTCTTGTTTTGTCTTGTCTTGTTTTGTCTTGTCTTGTTTTGTCTTGTCTTGTTTTGTCTTGTCTTGTTTTGTTTTGTCTTGTTTTGTTTTGTTTTGTTTTGTTTTGTTTTGTTTTGTTTTGTTTTGTTTTGTTTTGTTTTGTTTTGTTTTGTTTTCGATGTAATATACTATTTTGGGACATTTAAATTCTGTTTATGAAATTACAAAATCAGATGTGTTAAACGCAAGTTTCTTGTATGCAGAATATGTTATGAATTTGTTATGAATGAATAGGTATGTTATGAATTTTAAGTATGTAAGTGCTGCCAATATTAACAAATTTATAAGAATTTCATCTTTACGTAACGATTTAAATGGACACATACTTAAAAATATAATACGTACCGTATTATACGGTAAATTTAAAAATTTGTGTCTCTCGATGGAGTTAATTCGTGCATTAGTCAAATTCCAGAGATTTCTAACATAAGTAATGGAAAATAATCACATCGGAATAACGAAAACGAGTGAAACTCGACGCGATCTCAGTTTGATACCGTATGATTCTGTAGACTAGCGATGCAATATCGTTGGGTTTTGGTACCGGTTATTCGTTACCGTGTGTTAATGAATGTTATACATGTTATGACGGCAGTTAAATGATAGTGGTAATAAAACCCGAAATCGCTGGATCACTGTGCTTCATTATTTTAAAAAATATTTCAGCGTTGTGTAATTTGAAATTGTAGAATCAAATTATATGTTCAACTGTAATTTGATATAGAAGCTGCCAGAAAACGTGATATTTGTCGTGACATTCAGAACGCCGTTGATTGGAAAATTAATTTTTAACAATAACCAATCAACGTGTGTTCCGAACAAACTTGAAAGCTCGAACAATCCAGGCCACATCCACATATGTATAATATATGTAGAATATACATATTCTAGTTTTCCATCGGTATACATATTCGAGCCATTAATCAGTATAGACATATTTCAATATTCAATCAGTATACATATTCTAATAATCGATTAGCAGAAACATCATAATACAAACAACAAAATACATACATTATGCTATACTCCATTGCACACTTGTACTTTTTTATTAAAATACAAGTTCCCTAGTACTATTGCGTTCAAAAAAGTGTAAACTTCGATTCTTCTTACCCAATCACTGATATACCGTGGCTGATAACAATAACTATATCAACACACAACATCTGTGTCCACTACCGGACATAAACGCGTCCGTACAATACTGAATATATGTTTTAAGAAATCCATCACTTCCTGGAACAAACAAGCCGTTTATGTTTATTGCCAACGAGGGTTTTGTTCATTCATACAGAGTAATTAGACGGGAAAGAATTGCGTTTGTTAAAAAACATTAGAATTAGAATCTACAACAGTGGTCTCAAATCACTTTCACGGATGAGACAATGTTCAATTTAATTTTGATAGAAAAATATATAAGACACTACTAGAGAGATAAAGATTGTAACAAATTCACAATCGAAGATGGTGAAGAGATTCAGTCTTCGTCTGGAGTGCAATGACTATTAATGAAATCGATACCATACATCGCATAGCGGGACTGTTTTACGTAGGTACACAGAAATAATTAAAGATGTGCTACTCCCACCTGCCCGTGATCGAATGCCAAACGATCGGAACTACCAAGTCGATATTGATTCGAAGCGCATGGCTCGGGTATTAAGCAATTTTTAAGCGAACAAAGTATTAAATAAAGCGATGGAAACCTTATGGATCGACGTCAAAAAATTCGTGAAGGAATAAGGCCAACGAATTTAGAAGAAGTGTATCTACTGTTATCGAAAATGGTCGAAAGTCTATACCAAGAAAGAGATGCATTAAATTAATACAATTTATGCCACCAAAATATGGCGAGACTATAAAACAAAACGCTATACAAACTAGATATTAATGCATTATAAATTAAAAACCAATAAATATGTAAAACGTGAAAAGCACGCTCGCTTATAATATTGCAGCTGATATTAAAAATCGTAATAAAATGTATTAATATTGAAAGATAAACTTTGTTTGGATACTATATAAAGTAATGTTTAAACTTATTCCGCATGCAAGAAACTTACGTTTGCTCCTATCTAATTTTGCAATCTCGTAAACAAAATTAGAATTTGCAACTGTCCGAAAGTATATGATTGTCACTATCGTTCATGTAACATTGTGCTATATGCATAAATAGTGCACCACATTCTCCAATTATTATTGAACGTTTTACTAATTAATAATGCTAATCGAATCAGTTCTTCAATTATTTTAAAGGCTACTACTAATAACAAAATTGTCAAACTAGTGAATATGTTAGTATTTTATATTCATTAATTAGAAGCTACTAAATCTTAAGTTGATATTCAAGCGTAAAATAAATTCCATAGTACATAAATCGTGGCATATTAATTGGATAGGAACTGAGAGAAATGAAAAACGAAGAAACAAATACTAGGATAAGTAAGAGGGAAAAGGGAGAAATAGAAGAAGAAATGGACTAGATGGAGGAATGATTAAGGAAGGAATTTTCTGAAAAACACGAGAATTTGCTCTCGACTTGAAGAGGAAAAATTTTGTTGGCTGAATTCTTACAGCCACGTTCTAATTATCCTGCCTGAATGGTAACGGCGCGCGGCGGACTATAAATCAGGATTGGTTGGCGCTGTATCCTATTGACGCTATACATTATGGTACTCATTGTTCAAACAGATTGGCTAAATGATGTTTCAAAATACTATAATTAATAGCCATGTTATATTTTAATTGAAAGTATTAAATGTGTATGTAAAAGTATCTGTGCATCTATCCGATTATTTGTAAAATTGTTGTACTCATTTAATTTTGTTATGTTCCGTTAATATTGACTTATACTAAGGTAAATACGTGTCCTATAATTATTAATTTATTATTTTCGTTAATTGAACTAAGTTATTAAATATAAAATATTTCTTGATTATAGGTGTACATGATATTTTCTAGTTTTCCTTCTAGGAAATTTTATTCAAATTATATAAACGATATTAAATTATTAAAATATAATAATAAAACATAATATTGCATAAATATCTATTTAATTTAATATTTTCTTCCATAATGTTATAAATTTCAATTTTTTAATGCATCGTCTAAAACTTTATTTAATCATTTCCATGACCGTAATTTTAAATATCTAATAAAATAAATCGAAGCCTTGGATAATAATAATTCGTCGATCATCGACGGATATGTCACGTAAAATAAAAAGAAATTTAAGAAAGAAAAGAAACTTTTTTTCTGGTTTATAATACACTTCCGAGCTCTAGGCATGACTGTTCAAGACTGAATTGGATGATTTTAGGGGGAGTATTTAAATTCCTTTATTCGTGGGAGTGGGAAAAGGCTTCGATCATATATTTCTGAGAACGGATAGAGTGACCGGATGTTATCCCGATGGTCACTCATGCTAAGGCGCTTGCAATTTCGGTATCTTATCGCTTTGTTTAGTCGGATTTCATCTGTGACAGATACGTCAGGTCATAATAGCCTGTATAGTGTACAGTATGTTATACAGGGTGTTCAGTTACTGTTTTAAAATAATTTAAGGGGTGATTTTTGATGCCGAAATATGACGAAAATCAAGAATAAAAGAATTGCGTTTTCGGCTTTGTTTTTTATTGCTATTTGCGTCAGTTCTCTTGTTAGCACTATTGCCGATACACGATTACATTAAGATTGTTCTGTTATTTTATTTTACGTAATGTCAAACATCGTTTGTTTTTACCGGATAGTATTTTTTAATAACTTAATATTTATATTTATCACGTTGTTTTATTTTCGAAGACCAAGAGAAAGATAAGATTATTATATTTAGTAAATATATAATTTTATTATAATAAATATACAAATATCGAATGTGAAAAGTAAAGATTTAAATATCCGAATTAGTACCAAAGAGATTTCATACAGTAAATAACATACTTTACTTCCTAAAAGTATATTATCATTATTAATGTTATAGTAACATAGTATTTTAGTATTTTCTTAACAGTAGTAACACCAAAATTATTTTTAGTTATTAATTATTCCATAAGAGAAATAACATAACATATGTATTTTTTAATAATAATATTAATACTTATTCGTCTCTCCCAATTTGATGTTGAGTTAATTGTGTTAGTAATGAGTTACTGAATATCTCAAAATCAAAATAGTCCTTCTAGGACCTCAACGATCTTAATTACTTCAGTAACTGACAGTTTGACAAGGTAGGAATGCTGTCAGCCTAGTAATATCAACGAAAGGATTAGATCAAAGGAAGAACGGACCCTGTTTCCATAAATTACTCCTACACTGTATTATGGCTTTATCACGTGTCTATCTCTATTGACTGTGAAAACATTAAGTCCTATTACATAAAACGACGTACAAATGTTAGACAAACTTCAAATTGAAACAGTTGACTGCGGCAAAAGAATTTTAATTAATACATTCTCAAAACTGGCTATATCCAGCTTTCATATCAAAGATATTTATAATTGACCTCCTTGTTGTTGTATTAACACATTTGCATACAATAAGAATGAAAAATACATTTGTAACTACAACGTTATGAATAATATGAAATTAACAATTCAAGTTAATGAAAATTCAAGCAAATTTAATATTGTACATGTAAATAAATTATTAAATAAAGTTGCTGTGTATTTAGATTGTTCAAGTAAGCTATATATCTTTATTTCTTATTCTTTTTTCAGGTAGCATGGTTACGAGTGGATACACAAACTATTTTAACAATAGCTAATCACGTGATTACAAAGAATCATAGGATTGGAGTAACGCATACTGAGCGCAAAACATGGCATTTACACATACGCGACGTGAGCGAATCCGATCGAGGTGCCTACATGTGTCAAATAAACACCGATCCGATGAAGAGTCAAACCGGTTACTTGGATGTTGTAGGTTGGTTATTCATTACATTTCATATATTAAATGACATTTAATGATAACCTGTCGAATAACTACCTCCTCATCGACTTCAATATCCTTGAAATAAGTTGTCAAGATCATTATTATGAACTACTTTTTTCTATACGTATAAGGGGTGCCTGATCTTAGTTACGGGGTTATACGGAAAAGCATGTCAGGTATCATGTCGCGTGAAGCTGTCGATGTGTTACCTTTTCATGAATTTTAACAAGAACTTTTTTTAATATCCTTATAGTGGCATATAAACAGCGAAAAAATACTAAAAATTCCAGTCACTGAATTCCAAATGGAAAGGAGTAAGTAGGGTTAGAATATTTAAGTGGTGACAGCTGGTAGCCAGCGTAAGCGGACCGTGTAGGGGCGGTATACGTGAGTGAATCTAAATCCAGTGATGTTATAAGGAAGGAAAAATATATTGGATTTCCCACAAATAAGTACGACGTGTGTTCCATCAGTAAATTTATCAAAATCTATTTTTTACAAAGTTCATTGTATGCGCTACCAAACATAGTTTTGTGTATAATTCAAAAATTATGACTGACTACCGCTTATACATATGTATAGGAAATACTTGTTCGGAGTGATGATCTTGACAACAAATTTCAAGAGCATCTAAATCGGTGAAGAAGTATATTCAACAAGTTCACTAATTTTGTATTGTATTATATCACGTATCTAGTATAATTTATTATCTTTAGTTGGTTGTTGTAATATGTACATATAATATTGATAATATTCTAAGTTTCTTAAGGGCGATGCAGACGAACGACTCTTCGACGTCGCGTTCTTGTTGCGTCATACATCTGTTTTTGTAGTTTTTAAATGGGGAAGCGAAAGAAGACATACGATACAACGAGAAAATAATGTCAAAAAGTCGCTTGTCTACACCGGGCCTTATATGTTGAAACATACAACAATTAGATATTGTTTAATAATACTTTACATGCGTCATATGCATCACATGATTTCTATAAGTAAAAGATAATATCGGAATACAATCTTAAAGAAATTAGTGCTGCTGATAGATTGAAAATGGATCTACTGACTAATGAACAAAAGATGGACAAAATATCCCGAATCATCAATTGATGATTATTGGTAAATGTAACATAATTATCCAATATGATGCTCTGTAAATGCAGTGACTCCTCAAAAAAGATTGAGGGGATTGATACTCTAATTTGATCAAAGCAACGCTTTTGCTTCTTGTGAAATGCTAAAATATTTATGAGCAACCGGAAGCAACAAACAACCCGGAAAATTCACGAGAATGCTCGATTACATCTTGCGGCTGTGACGGAGAGGTTCGGCATAAAGGGATGGAACTATCTACTTGTATAATCCAGACATCTCAAAATTGAGTAAAAAGATGCATTACATGCAAAAGATTAGTTTGCTATGATGCATCTCTATATTTTCATACAATATAATTTTGTATTCTGTGATAGAAACCAGAAATTAAATATAATTATTTATGTCGTATAGTACTTGGCGAGGTGATTTTATTATTGCCATTATTTTATTATATCTTTTTTTAAGTACTTAAATTTTTTATTGATTTTGCACTCGCCCATTAATGTATAATAGTCCAGAAATTAATGTTTCGTATCTAATGCTATCACTCAGGTGGATGGCAGTGGTCAAGATGTATTTATGGATTTACTTTGAAGCATTTTCTGATCATTCGACAAGACAAAGATGGTGATCAACAAATAGTATTGTGTAGCTTGGAAACAATTCTAGGATAAGTGATTAAAACATCCTTAGCCAAGACGTATACCACGCAAGTAATCACATTCAAAATCATCTTGATACTACCAAAGCCCAAGTGGCAATAGTAGACAACATTGTTAACGATCTCACACTGTTCCTAGAGTCAAATGTTTAGTAAATGAATTAAAAATGTTCTTCAACACTAAATATTTTTAACAAAGTAATAACATTTATTTATTAGGAAGTTCTAAATACACAAATACGTGTAATTTTATGAAGTTTGTGATGTTCTAATATTTCACAAAAGTTCAAAATTCTCGAAGTTTTTAAATTTTTGAAGTTCATAGTACGAGAGTTTTGTAAACATAATTTGCGAAAATCCTATTTCTGTAGTTCCAGTTCAGAATATGGATTTCTTATTAATTTCCTTTAATTTCTGAAAATGTATTACATGCTCTTTCCATTAATTCCTAATGTATATTACTTCCTGTTGCGTAAACTTTTTCTTTCAAACTTCTCGATAAGTAAAAATTCAGAGATACCAAATAATTGTCGAACAATATTGTTTTGTCTAAGGTCACTTTGTTCACTTACAACTATTCTTCAATTTAATACGCTTCAAGTGGAATGCATGTTGTACATTGTACATATATATGTACTTGTACGTTTCCGTTTGCTGTCTTTAAAACGAGCAAAAGTGCAGAGAAAACAGAGAAAGGAAAAGCAAGAAATAGAGTGATGAAGTAGTTAAACAGAACGATAGGATGTATTTCTCAGTAGCTTTGGGTTTAAATGGATAATTGGATTTTGAACATAGTATAGTAAACATAATTGCTTCTGCGATAATAAAATCAGATAACAAACAATGATTCAAATATTGGTAACTTGCTCAGCAAGATCTCAAGATGTTAAATGTATTTTTCTTTGATTTTGATATATTATTGATTATCTTTCTCTTATTTAAAACTGTATGCCTATATAGATATCTACGCATACATTTCATATACATAAGTAATTTAATTTTTTAACATACTCAAATATTTACTTATAAATATTGAAAATTCTTGATTAATTAAGCTTAATTGCTGTAGCATTATATATCCGTATTCACTGTGCTGTTGAATGGAAAAAACAATACTGTAATAATTGTTACAGTAGTAGCTGAGGGTGTATGCGTCTTGTTATTGATTATCTACTTTAAGAAATATTTATGGTGGTTTTATCATTTGTTTCTTGAGAATTGGGAAAAGTGAGTACTTCTTCTTAATTCTGATCAAATTTCTGTTTAGTGATTAGAGCAATGCTTGGAACACCATTACCTAATTTTACTCCCGCGTAATAGGGCGTGTACTACTGTTCGAAGCACTCTGTATTAGGTGGATCAAAAAATAATATCGGATCTTTTGCTGAAAAATGGTTTTAATCTTCTTAAGCTTAATTTACTTCTTAATTCGTTAAAAACGTTCTCACTTTCTTATGAAAGTGGGTTCTTTCGTGTCATAAATTGTGTTTTTTGTAGCCTTTATTACTTCAATTTATGACACCTATACATATTAACAATAAGTATTTTTTACCACTATAAGGGCAAATATTATAGAATTTTACACAAGAATTATTTTTAATGCTTAATATTAAGTTACTTTAATACTTTGAATATCATTCGGATTAATGAAAATATCTTTAAAGTATTGTTGAAGCAGAGATGGGAAAGTACTTTTCTATTTTGATCATACTCAAATATAATTAATGTTTCTAGTTTGATGATTTTTCTTTAGTAATTCCATATCTTTTGAAAGAATATACGATTTAGAAACTTCATACAATTTCTTAGTCTTAATAATACTTTTGTTCTCTTGTTGAAACTTATCAGGATTATTTTCGCTCGTAAATTTCTCCGTCGTCAATTACGGTAAAAATACAAATGCATATTTATTTTCAACTAGAGCCTTATTTATAAATCACACAAGAATCGTTTAAAACAGAATAATAAAAGTTTACATCGTAGCGAACTAAAATGCGGCAGAAAAATCCGACTAGAATCTTTAGAAAGATTTAACGTAATAATTTATAATGAAAATAATAAATAATTTATAAATAATAATAATTTGTAAATAAAATAATAAATAATAATAATAATTTATAACCTTTCCCTTTTTAGTGTAATTTGTAATTGTTCTCTTTTCAGTTCCGCCCGATATTTTAGACTATATGACAAGTACGGATATGATAGTCAGAGAAGGAAGCAACGTTACATTACGTTGCGCTGCTAAAGGATCTCCAACTCCAAATATTACATGGAGACGAGAAGATGGAGAAACTATACTCCTTGGAAATGGCGAAGAAGGTAAGGGATAATGTTGAAATCTACATCTGGTGTTGAAACCTAACCTTACACCTAATGTAAGGGCGTCAAATCTAATCTATTATTTTTTACCTAATATGATATAAATGCCATACTGAATTTTAAATATTAAAAAACTATTTTTGTTAGACTAACATTAATACAGTTCAAGTAAAACCGTCCATATGTGTTTGGATGCTTCCAAATTATTGCAAGTAAAATATATCTTGTATGAACCTCTTTAAACTAATTTTTTAGCCTTTAATTTTATCATCTGGCAACCATATACAATTAATAGCTACTGATAAAAACAATAGTTAATATTAGTTAGTATAGATATAAGGGTAATAATTAAAGACTAATGAAACCTAATCTTGCGGAGTTAGGTTATTATGTCTCTTGAATGCGGGGATATAATAGTAATTGAAATACCTATCTAATCACACTCTAAAAGTTTAAATAAGCTTTATAAAGTTTCAGGTATTCGTTATAGATAAACATAAAAGTTGAATTAAGCAGATGTATTCCTTCCTAAATAATCAACAGTAGAGAAATGTTCTTCAAACATAATATAACTTTGAAAATAAAACAAAAATATCAATTTTTTGATCGAATTGCATCAAATGTTTAAATGTTCATTAATGTTAGGTCCAACTACAAGTAATTAAACAAAAAACTAAATAAATGATATTCATTAAATATCTTTTCACAATTTAACAATTCTAACATAATATGTAAGCACCTCACCATTAGAAGTATTTTTGAAATAAGTTTTTTTCAAATTATCTTCCTAAAAGATGATTTGTCAATTATTCTTAAGTGTTTCATTCTTCCTTTATTGATGAATGTGTGCATGTGTATGTGGGCGCGGATACAATTAAACGATAGATACCTGAAACATTACGGAAGACAAGTGTGACGATGGTTAAATGAACATTATCCTTGAAGATTGATGAATCTGGGAGGTGCAATTCTTTCCTTTCTGAGATTAGATCTTGCACTGCTATGTTTTCACATGGGAAACTTTTACAAGAAAAGTGCATCAAGTGCACTTCGCAGAGTGTTAGATTTAAACTCTTTGCCGTTTGTAGTTTACCAATAAAATAATAGATGAAAAAACTAATCAGTTATATATTTAAAATTATACAAAATAATTACAATTTTGTACATATACCGCTTTAGTATAATTTTCTTGCAGTATGCCAAATGTAGTACTAAGTCTAGGAAACTTCACAAAATTTTTCTACATGTATGTGAGTATAAGAATAATTAAAATTTTCTTTATATACATGTGTGTATTTTGATTTGTAAAATTTAACATTATTTTACATTAACATTTAACATTACACAATTTTATAAAACAAATTTAATAAAACGTAGTAACTTAAACCAAATGTTGATTTTACTACCTACTTGCAAATAGAAATTTGTTTACATTTACAGTAATTTCGTTGTAATACGGAACAATTTACCTTATCGAATATAAATATTGTTTCCTTTCTTTAAATAAAGATTTGAGGAAGTGTATCTTATTCGCATATAATTAGGTACCTATTACATTTTGTGCGATTATTATACAATTTCCTAAAATCAATTGATAGGCAGAGTGTAACTCGTAAAAAGCGATAAATAACTGCAATATACACATCTAGCAAGCTGTTTTTAGTAAAAATGGGACGTTACTGGCACATTTCACAATGAAATAGCTGTGTCTCAATTTTTCGTGTACTTTAAATTCTATTCACTTTTAGATTTATAAAATTTGTCAATACATATACAAAGGGTTAAAAAATATAGGCGATATTTATAAAGCGTGATACCAGATTCCAGATAATAAAAAAAGTTCATGTAATTTTACGTTAATTTTACGTTAGAAATATATTTTTTTATTTTACAGTGTTGTGAATAACATTAGACTCTAACGCATTGTCTGCATTATTTCTTCAATATTTCTAAGAAATGATTGACAATGTTTGTTATACTCTTGATATGGCTGATATGTTAAGTAAAACTGTTATTGTGTAGGGTAAATTGAACGCTATAAGATATCAAATGTTACATAACGAATTATTGCCTTTCTGCGAAATAGAAGACAAGAAGACAATTTTTCAACATTACAATGCTCCTATTCATACAGTCGCCACTACAGAAAAGTGGTTTCAAGATTTCGAAATAGAATTATTACCATGGGCAGTATTGAACATTGATCTGAACCCGATCGAGAACCTGTGGGGAATTCCAGGAAGAAAAGTCTACGATCAGGAGAAGAAACCTATCTAAGAAAATATCGTTGAACTTAAAAAAAAAAAAATATGTTAGTGGGTAGTGTACCTAACAAATTAATAAAAGTAAATAAAAATAAGAAGAAGTTCACGAAATATTGAATGGAAACATAACAGAATTAACATCGAGTTTATATTTTTTCACAGCTAAAAACATAATTTTAAGAGAAACTTTCATTTTTCCCAGGCTTCAAAAAAGAAAATTTTTGTTCCTTGTATCTTCAATTTTGTTTTATATTGTAATATAATGAAATTATATAAACAATTTTGGCAATTTTTGTTTTAATATTATGAAAAATTTAAAAATACGAGTGAGCTTATAATTATTCACAACATTTTATTTATTTAAAGTTACACCTACCTCTGAGGGTTATTAGCGAATATCATATTATACTTACAATATGTACTATTATATATTAGAATAATCTGCTATTGACTTATGTACGGGGTGTATAAAAAGTAAGTATAAAAACCACGACGATACGAATGACGATGTCATTTTCAACTGCTATGCTGACAATTTGGTGATTATGATTTAATATTGCGACATCTGTATGCAGGTCGATTCCGCACCAATTGACGTAAAGAAAAATACGTTAATCATGGCCTTTGCTTGTGCTTATTCGCCATTAGACCTACATAAAATAATTCGTCGAATGAGAATCACTCACTTGACAGTGCGACACATAATTGGAGAAGAAGGCTTACGTCCTTACAAAATTCACCACGTTCAAGCACTCCAACCAAATGACTACACCACTCAACGAAGTTTTTGCCGTTGGATGCTACATAAACTGCAACGCGATGCACACTTTTTGGAGCGTGTATTTTGGAGTGTATCATTTACGGATGAAAGCAGTATTTCAAGTTGTAGCATCCTCAATCGACAAAATGTCAGGATTTGGACTTATAGAAATGTTTGTGCAATGATTGAAAAATTTAATCTAGAACGATTCACCATAAACGCATGAGCAGGAATTATCGAAAATCATATTATTGGCCCTACCATTCTGCCTACATCGATAAAAAGTGCAACAGCATATTTGCAATTTTTATGTTCATGTCTCCTAAGCGAATTACATGAAAATATATTACGGCAGAGTCGTCACTTCATTTGTTGCACGATGGTGCTCCATATAGCCGACCAGATCACTAATTTTTAAACGAAAAGTTTGGATCACTGTGGATAGAATGTAGACCTGCTCTTCCCATGCGGCTTCCTTGTTCATGAGATCTGATGGCAGCGGATTTTTTTCCTTTGAGAGAAAAAACTAAAAAACTGTTTATAGTTCAAGTGAGCAAATTCCAGCCGTTGAACAGATTTCAGTCGTTGAACAGATTCCACCCGTTGAACAGTTACAACATCCGATTGAATGTGGTCTTTACCATACAAAATCAATACGTAATCTTGGGAAGAAACTTGGCGAAAATGTAGAAGTGCGAATACGTAATTGTGGAAAGAGGCAAAAAAAAAAAGATGAATGAAATAAAGATAGATATGGCACATACATGGGATGTATAATAGTGGATCATCGATCATTGATCGTACACAAATTTATGTAAATAAAATTTGCAAACAAACATAACGAATTTTAAAAGTCAATCAAGTGCATTGTGTATTATTGTTGGGTTGATTAATTGGTTTATATGAATTTTTATACGTAACTAGAACTGCATGCAAAAGATTGTCACCTACATACGTATATTGTAGAAGAATAATAATTGAGGAATATAATATATTGACACATTTTCGAATTTTTAAGATGAATTTTCCTAGGAGATGGTAGAATAAAAATATATTTTCAATATTCAGTTATATACCAGAACCATATCAATACGATTAATAATACCTAATTCTGGACAAAAAATTCTCTTAAGTCAACTAATAAATTTTTTTACTGATTTTCTGACTTTAATGTCATTGAACTAAAAAAAAGTCTTTTATAGACTCGAAGACATAAATCTATCAAAAATAAGTAATGAATCTATGGTATTTTGTATTATATAGTATTAGTCTAGTAATCCGCATAACTAATGTTATCAATAAGTTCATATATGTTCAAGAAAGTCGCAAAAATACATGTTTAATCCTCAAATCAAATGAAAGGATGGCTTTAATGTAAAGTTGGTTGACAATATATTGAATTTTACTTGTTATATATGTTTTTCACCTATAGCTCTCATTTTGTACTTCAATATTTTTAAAGATCGGTCTATAGGTTTTCTCAATAAGATTTTAACTAATACTTCTTGTCTTGCATTCGAATATTCGAATTGTTTGGTCAATGAATTATTGACTTGCTCATGTTGCAATATTTACAGCGTACGCCGTTTGAAAAAATGTTTCCGATACACATTTATACGAACACGGTAGAGGGCTAAGAAATATATGACGTACGATGAAGGTACAATGAAAATTTATCACCGGCGGCTTTCAAACTTATTTAGCGACTATGATGCGTGATGCAGCGGTCCTGTCGTTGCACTGCACCTGCACGTTGGCATGCCGATGACGTTAGAATGAAATACACAGGCCGCGTTTCGCACAATAATACCAAGTAATACGTACGTACTGATTCGCACACGGCCAATTGCAAAGACTTTATTCGCGAGACACAGTAACGATTTATCATTCCTTTGTCTTTCGACCGCATCGAACTGCTGCCTACATTCTCTCTCTCACTGGAAATGCCGAGCCAGTTACAAGAAAAATGTCTCCTG